CCCTCCTCAGAGAGGATGGACTGAACTGTGAAGTCAAGGTGCCAGTGATGGGTTGCGCCTCACCTCCCTGCAGCTGCTTTGGTCGTTTCTGTTCTGTTTTATTATTTCTGTCAATAAACGTTTTGAATCTTCCCTTTGTCTGATTTGCCCTAAATACTGGCTCCATCTGTCCCGTTTATGACAATGACATGTATGTTAGTACACATGGATGCCACAGATGACTGCTTGAGATCAGTCTAAGATCAGAAAAGGAAGTAATAAAAAACGTAAATCGTAAGAAAATTTTATCCTGAAAACAAACATGCATCTGTAAAGGTTTTAAACTAAAAAGATTGCCATAATGGGTTACACTCTTCTGCTATTCAAGACATTCTTCAACTAATTTATTTTGCTTTAGAAATAGACTAAATAGATCTGCCTCTATGGATTGTGCCAACTTTCACAATCCCTGATCCGGAATTTTCTCTTTCTAAAGTGAAATTTCAAGATTCTCATAAAATTGAAATAGATGGAAACATGACTATTGTGACACGTCAAAACATGAGAGTGTTCAAGGAGTGTGAATACTTTAGCATGGTGCTACCTTTGAATGGTCCCCATTTCAGCAGATAGCTTCCTGATGGCAGCGTTCTTCTCCTGTTTGGATTTTTCCTCCTGTTCAAAGCTGAAACGATTGAAACGCTGGTCGGTTAGAACATGGATTCAGATGAGGCTGAAGTGCAGTGCGGCTGATCGCTCACAGCGTTCTGGCTTCAATGGACCTCCTCTCGTTCTCCTTCAGAAACTCCTCAAACTTCTGATTGTCTCTCTCCATGAGCTTTTCGAATTGTTTCAGCTTTCTTTCCTCTTTTGCAATGACCTTGTCCATCCTCTGTATCTCAGACCTTTTAGTCATCAGGGATATCTAATAATAATGGAATAATGAGAGAGTTTCATAACTTGCCTTGATCATTTCTTAGTATTTTGGAGATGGCAGCAAATCTTTGTTTCCAGATATTTTCTCTCAGAAAAGTCTAAATTTTTGCCTTCGTCGAGACCTCCAGTTCTACTGAGAGAAAACTACTCATGAACTTTACTTCCAACATTTCTCATCTCATTCATATGAAATCCTAAATCTAAACATGTAGATCTCAAACACGAATGTTTTGTCGTTTGGCATCAAGACTACATAGACCCTGACTGTCCTCCCTCTCACCTCCAAGACCGCTTGCTGCCGTTCCATCAGGATGAGGTCGTACTTGCTTTGTTTTGTGAATCTTTCTGTGGGAAAAGGAAACACAGCTGAATTCTGCATGAATGGATCCCTTTGGCTCCCACATAGTGATGGCTAGTCTTCCTGTTGTAAAATGACAGCTTATAAATCACATCAATATACGATAAAATGCACTACAGTTCATTTTATTTAGCTAATGTTTAAACTTCAATGTTATTTTTAAAGTTAATAAAACAGAGACATCATCCAACAGTGAAAGGAAAAAAAAAAACGGGGCAAAGTCTGAAGAGCAATCAGACAAAGGGTCGGGTCAGAGGTCAGGAGGAGATGTTGCTGTCTTTCGGTTCATCATTGTCAGGTGTTGGTTTGTTATGACAATGGTTGCCTGGGGAACAAGAAGCTGAACAAGTTATGAATGAGTTATTAACAGGAAGTGAACTCTCTCATCTCTGATGATAAACTCAATATAAGCAAAAAAACTATGAGAGACGCTGCAGAGCTGGAGAGTCTGAACATCAGCTGCCTCTGCTTTGATGGAGGCAGCTGCGTGAGGCATGATAATTCACGTAAAATTACAAAAAACAAGTTCACAATCATGTTCAGTCATCTTGCAAAGTAATCTTTATATTTCTATTTTAAAAGATCATTCATTCTGTGTCAAATATGTAATGGAAGTGTTACGGCTGCAGTGGGTTTCTCCACTTTTCCTTGCAGGGTTCTGGATGCAGGCCTTCTGCAGGTGATTAGTTTTGCCCTAATTGGTGCTTGTCTGCTTTAAAAGCTGTCATGCAAGCAGCAGACAGGAGGCTTCTCTCTCTTACCTCCTCAGAACCCCATTTGGCTTGGTTTGGTTTGTATCCTGTCCTAAGTTTAGGTTTTTGTTAGGTTTGGTTGTATTTGCTTATTTCTGTTTAGTTATTGGTTTTGCAGTAAGCCATTTTCTGTTCCCCATTTTCTGTATCCCTTTTCAGGTATTGTTTCTTTATTATAATTTAATAAATTAAAATTTTACTTTAAAGAAAATCCTTGTGTGGTCTCCTTTAATGTTACCCCCACCAAACAAGCCTGGTGGACGTAACAGAAGAAAAATCTATGGATTTACACCTCTGTTAAAAAACAGTCCATATGCAGTTAGTCTTCGGACAACCAGAAAACATGAGGTCATAGTTGTGACAAAGCCCACTCCTCTTCAGCTCACCCCAAAAGCTTGTCTTTGAGACGTATGTCTAAGGAGGCAGTGAAAGAAAGTTTATTTTGCGTCTAGTGAAACACACACACACACACACACACACACACACACACACACACACACACACACACACACACACACACACA